TCCAGAGCTCACAGACAAGTAGGAAGGGAATTCTGGGCCAAGGAATCAAGAGTGCCAATTTGATCCGTGTGGTAGTGGCACATACCTTTTTATTCCAGCTCTCGAGAGACAGAGGCAGGTGGATCTCTGTGAGTTTGAGGCCAGTTTGGTCTACAGAGCTAGCTCCAGAACAGCCAGGGCTACACAGAGACCTCGTCTTGAAAACAAACAAACAAACAAAAAAGTTTAATTTAGCTGTACTATGAAAGTAACTCGTTCCTGATAGAGACCGAGTGAATTATTAACTGGATTATAGTCAGCAGTCTGAAAATGGCATCTCGGTGGAGCCTGGTTTGCATTTCTCTGGTTACTGATGAGACGGGACATCTTTTACACAATTTTGATTGTCCATGTACATACACATTGTATATTCTCCCCCGCCCCCTGTGTGTGTGTGTGTGTGTATTTCTCACCCTTTTCCTCCACCTCTTTCTCTTCCTCTTCTCCTAATTTTTTCATTTTCTTTCTCTCCTTCCTCTGTTGCTTCTTTTGAGACAGGTCTCTCCTAAGTAGCCCAAGCTGCTCTAACTTCAGTCTTTTTTTTTTTTTTTTTTTGGTTTTTCAAGACAGGGTTTCTCTGTGTAGTCCTGGCTGTCCTGGAACTCACTCTGTAGACAAGGCTGGCCTCGAACTCAGAAATCCACCTGCCTCTGCCTCCCAAGTGCTGGGATTAAAGGCGTGCGTCACCACTGCCCTACAACCACAGTCTTCCAAATACTGAATGTCTGCCTTGTGCCATATCTTGGGCCCGTTTTTTAAAATGCTGTCTTTCTTGAGGGCAGAGATGTTTACCTGTTTTGTTCAACAGCATGTAAAACATTTTGTGGGACCCTGAGAGGGGTCAAGTAAAATCAGCTGAATAAATGACCTACCTCTAGCCTGGACTTAGATTGACTTGCTGGGGGGAGTTTGGGTGGTCAACTCCCAAAACCCAGACCTACGTTTCCACATTGGTAACAGGAGGAAGGCTTTCAGTGTCTTTAAGGGTCCACGTAGCTTACTGGAAGGGAAGGTCATGAAAGGACAAGCTGACCTGGCTTAAGGTGGTGTTTGCTGCCCCCTGGTGTTGGGGCCAACTCTTCCGTTGTACCACTGCTTATGTTACCTATAACTTCCTGCTTTGCTGGGGAACCCGGTAAGTGGGAGGGGAGGGTGAGACAGGACATCCTCTGCACACTGTTGGTGTATGTGGGGGCGGGGGGGAATCCCTTCTGTCCTTTCACCTTCCCCATCCCATCCCATCCCATCCCATCCCATCCCATCCCATCCCATCCCCAGTGTCAGCATTTGACATCTATGATGGATACTTTCATGCCAATTACTGTAACTGAGCGTTGAACTCATGGCTTCACGTTTGCTAGGAAAGTATGCTACAGTTGGGCCTCATTCCCAGCCTTAAATTCCTGCCGTCTGGCTCATCCAGCCTATGGTACTCTGTTATAACAACTGTGTATATACCCCAGAACTCACACCTGTGTTTGTACTACTTTAGTCTGAGAACTACCATTTGGGGCCAGGGATAACCATCCTACAGAGGAGAGAGGGCTAGAGATGTACCTCAGTGCTTGCCTAGCACATATAACACGCTGGGCTCAAGCTCTGGCACTGCCAAATAAGTAGTGAGGCTCAGGGGAGGGCAGCCAATAGGAATAGGATGCTTAAGATACAGAGACAGCTACTTGGCTGCTCTGAATCCTAGAGCGTTTCCTCCAGTGCCACCCACTGGAATGGCCCTTCCTTAGATGGTCTGTCTTACGAGAATTAAGACTTCCTGCTACACCCCCGGCCCCTCCCTGTTCCAGCCCACATTGATCCCTTCCTGGCCTCATTTTTGGTATCTAAACTGTTGCTTCTCTTTGCTCAACAATACTGAACTCACCAGGCTTCCTCTTGGCTAGGACTCAACTGTTGTTCCCGAGTTTTGCAGAAAAAAGTATTGAAAGACCCCTCTAGGGGGTGACCCAGGAAGGACGCGACCCTTAAAGACACTCTAGAGATTTCTTGCTGTAATGACATGAGTCAGGTCTTTATTTATCGAAGCTTTGGGTCAATGTGCCTCACGCAGGAAGCAGGGGTCATCGACCCTGAGATCTAACAGCTTAGGGTTTTCATAGACAAAGGCTGGGGAGAGGGAGAGGGTTGTGGGTAATCACACACAATTGGTTGTTATAAATGTCTGTAGTATGTGTAAGCAGATCTCAGGCAGAGGTTTGACAAATCTCACGAGAATAGTCTCTGGTCTCTGTGGCCTTGGGACCCAGTGTGAATGTTTATCTGAGTCGACAGACCATCTGGCTGAATCTAATTTATAAGTCTTTGGGACCTCTGGTGGGAGTTTCTCCAGAGGAGGCTAAGTCAGACACCACGGGAACAGATTCAATTGACCTTTGTTTCCCTGTTCTGTATCCCCTGTAACAGTCTTGGGTTAGCAAGTTAGCTGACCTGTAATTTTAACTATTTGTATTCTTGTTATAGTATTTAACTAACTTAAAAAATACCTTTTCAGTATCTGCAGTGTTTATTTAGAGGCAGGTTCTAATGTAGCCCAAGCTGGCCTGGAACTTACTATGTGGTCTAGACAGGGCTTGCCCTTCAGTCTGACACGTTCACTTCTCACAAGCTGGGATTATAAGAGTGTGCTACCCACTTCTGGGTAGCTTAGTGAAAAATCTTGCATCCCCCCCCACCCCATTCCTGTAGTAAAGCACATCTAATGTAAACTTTACAATTTTAACCATTTGAAGGCTATATGCTATTAGACACACTTGATATTCTATATTCCCTCCCCCATCATCCATCTCCAGACCGTTATAATTCATAATGAAACTCTTCCCACAAACAACTCCTTTTGTTCTCAAATCTAATTGCTGTGACAATACCTGAAAGTTAAAAGGAAGATTTATTTTGCCCCATATCTTCAAGGGCTTCAACAAATTATAGTAGGGAGGGCCTTGGTGGCAGAATTCACCTCACAGCATCCAGGAAGCAGAGACACAGAGAATAGCTGCACTGGCCAGCTTCTGACTTTCAAAAATTAGCTTTATTGTGTACGTGCATAACAGATTGGGGGTGCACACAGGCCATGGTGCACATGAAGAGTTCAACACCTTTGTGGAGCCAGTCTTCAGTCTTTAGGTGGATTCCCAGGACTGCTCTCAGGTTCCCACATTTCTGTGGCAGCACCTTAACCTTCTGAGTCATCTCCACAGCCTAACGTACTCCTTTCATTTCGTTTTTTAAACTCTTGTGTGTGTGTATAGGTGTTTTGCTTGACACATATGTATGACTGTGCACCACATATGTGGGCCCTGGAGCCAAGAAGGTGGCTTCAGATCTGGTACCAGTTATAGACTGCTGAGAACTGACATGTAGATGCTGAAAATCAAACCCAGGTCCTCTGGAAGAGCAGCAGCCAATGTTCTTAATGACTAACCAATCACTCCAGTCCCTAACATTTTTTTTTTTTTTTTGGTTTTTCGAGACAGGGTTTCTCTGTGTATCTCTGGCTGTCCTGGAACTCACTTTGTAGACCAGGCTGGCCTCGAAACTCTCGAACTCAGAAATCTGCCTGCCTCTGTCTCCCAAGTGCTGGGATTAAAGGCGTGCGACATCACCGCTAACATACTCTTAGTAATAATAATAAAATGTTTTGTTTTTGCTGTCTCCATTTGGCAAGAAGGTAAACCTTTTACTGAGTATGGAGATGTTTTGTTAGTTCTGTGCAAAGAGGCCCTGCCTGGGTTAGGGAAACCTGTCTTTTTAATCCAGATTCTTCATTCTTGGGCTCTACACTGCCTCTTAAATGCACCTGTCCTCATCTTCACTCAAACTAGACCTAAAGTTTTGCTCTCCCTTCTAAATGATCCTCTCAGTTTCCTCCTGTCAGTTAACAGCCTGACAGCCATCCACCTACACCAGGCAGAAACTTGGAAATCAACTTTGACCTCATTCCTAACATGTACCCACCCCAATTTAGGATACTTTTGTTTTCAAAATAGTTCTCAGATGTTGCTCAAAGTGAATTATCTACCCACTTTAAAAAAAAAAAGCCTCCTTTCACCCAAAGCCACAATCATTGGTCTCCTAGAAGTCTACAAAAGACCATTCACTACTTTCTCCGTTTTCTCATTTTTAAAATTTGAGACAACGTATTGTTACTTGCCCAGTCCAGCCTTGAAATGACCTAGTCTCTTCCCTCAGCCTCCAGGGTGTTGGGATTATAGGAGGGGCCACCCACCACGAATGACTCCATTATTTGTCTAAAACTTAGCAATACACACATACAACTTTAAAATTCCTGTTTTACAAGTGTCTCCAGAGACAAATGCTTGTCATTGTATAGTCCCTTCCAGAGCCGCAGCCTTCTTACGTGTTAACTTGGCTGTTAAATGAACCCTACTAAAAATCAAGAACTCCTCAGGCAGCAGAGGGTGGTGGTGTGGAGCAGTGTCCCTGCCCCCTCACCGCTGACAGAATGAATCCCTTGGCTCTTTTAGATTGGGTTCCATTCCGCCATACAGTTTGCATGGCTCAAGGCTGTCTCCACGACCCCTCTCCCCAATATCACGCTCGTCTTTCTCTAATGCAGCACCTGTCCCCGTCCTAAGCCGCTCTCAAGATTTGGAACTACTGATTAATGGGTGAGTTTTTGAAGGGCCCTCCCAAGAGCAAGAACAGCGATACACAAAACATATAATCCCAGCGAAGCCTCGACCTTAGTGGAGGAGATCACTATTCCCAGAAGTCCCTTCACCGTGGATTGATTGGCTCGCCCCTCCACCCAAGACCCTTCGCGCGAGAAGACTGAGCATGCGCGAAGAGGACTGCGCCTGTGCAAAAGATTACCCGGGGGCGAACTGCACCTCCCAGCAGGCTGTGGGGGATTTGCGTCACTCCGCGTGACGAGCAGCTTCCGGCGTGGAGGGGCGGGGTTGCGCGCGCGGCTTAGGCAGCTGCTGGACCTGGGAGGGGAGCGGCCCTGGGGCCGCTAGGCGCTACCCGCAATGGAGGCCGTGCCCCGGATGCCCATGATCTGGCTGGACCTGAAGGAGGCCGGTGATTTTCATTTCCAGTCTGCGGTGAAGAAGGTGAGCACACCTTCGCCGCGCATCTCCGCCGTCTGCCCGCGCGTGACGCCCCCTGCGCGCCTGTCCCTCCTCGGGTTCCGTCGCAGGTCGGGCCAGGCGTTTTCCCCTAGGATGGCCCTCCCCTCTCCTGCCTGCACAGCATCCTTATCTCCGACTGGCACTGCATCTTTTTGGAAACCCTCTTCCCGACTTTTGTCCTGGACCACCTGCATTTCTACCGAGGTTCAACGCTTCCTTGCTGTGACGTTCCTGGACCCAGCTCTGCCCTGTTTCTCCTCGTCCAGGGAACCCGCACGGGGAGTGATGGCGGTCTAGGTTTTACAGAGTCCATGCTAGAAACGAGCCTTGGTGGGCTCGTTCACGACCGGACTAGGACAGAATGTGTTTAAAACTGGAACCCCCATGGTCCATAGAAATGCCTGGCTCTAAGAGTGTGTGATTGTGTGTCTGTGTGACTCTCCAATTCTGTGTGGTCTCTCCTTACAAAATTTCTGTCCCAAAGTTCCTTTGGACCAAAAGACACAGTTTCTTGTTGATAAGAGAGCTTGAGTCACGCTAGGGGTATTGGTGGCATCGTATGAGTCATTGTGTTGGGAAGAGCAGTCCTTTGGAGTTCACTGAGGCAAGGGGTTTCCGCGGTGAGATCAGGTGTGGTGATGTGGAATTGGGAAACCTCCCAGAGAGCTACTGCTTTAGCAGAAGTGGACAATTTGGAAACCGTGAGGAGTCTTAGGGATTTAGCACAGCAGCTGTTGGAGTAGACAGTCTAGAACCCTTGACCACGCTGTGGTGTTTAGGGAAAGGAGGAGGAGAAAGAAAATGGGTTTTGGTTTCCGATGGACTTGCCTCCCGGATTCTCTTCATACCAGTACTTCCACAGTTCAGACCCTGATTGGTTGGATGCTTGAGAATGGGAGAGGTGCATTCACCTGCCGAGTGTGTATATGTGGTGGCCATCCAAGTGGTGGGTATCAGACCCAGACAGAGCCTGGCACAAGAAGCTAGGCAAGTGCTCTTCACAGAGATGTACGCCTCCATCCCATACATACGCCTAACGCCTCCGTAAGACCAGCGTATTAAGCCAATAGATCTAAATTTACAGAATTTTGCTAATTCTTACCCGTCTTCTGTTTAATGCAAATATAATGAGGTGAATTTTTCTAAAATGTATCAAAACCGAGGAAGATAGAAACATAGTATTCTGAGCCCTGGTTATACAGAGTCAGACAGAGTAAAGTCAGTATTTTTAGTTTTCCATTCAGGAATTCTCACTGATATAGCCTAATTCTTTGATCTTTTGTCTCAGTCCTGTTATGTGTTATATGTTGATCTGTGTTTCTGATACAGGTATTCCACATTCTGTTCATAATTATTACTTCCTGTTTCCTTAACAGGCCTTTTCTCCTTGTTGTGCCTTTGTGGAGATCATTTTACCTCAGTGGTTGTTACTTCATAACTGTTAATTTTGCTGTTAGGAATCATAGTACAAATATTTGATATGCAGGATATCTGGTATACCACTCCCACAGGGGTTGAGGCCTACAAGTTGAGGACCACTGTTCTACCTAAAAGAGCTCTCATGTTTGCCCCACAGAGTGGAGGTAGAGCCATTCTTTAATCTCTCTAAATTGGTTCCGTTCAACTTTCAAGGTCCAGTTGAAGCTCTGACTTCCAAGAAGCTTTCCTTAATCTGGATTAGTCTTTTCTTTTTCTGAATTTCCTTCCCTTCACCCTTTCCTTAGCAACAGTTCTATGTGCTGTTTTTAATCTTTATTTGTGTGTGTGTCTAGATGTGCGGGTTCAGGCATGGCAGTACATTTGTTTGGAGGCCAGAGGTCAACTTGCAGGAGTTAGTGTTCTCCTTCTACAAGGCAGGTCTAGGTAATCAAACTAGGTGGTTAGACTTGCCAGCAAGTGCCTTCCTCCCCTGACCCTGCTGCTCTGGCCCTATATGTACTGGGTTTTGTTTGTTTTTTTCAAGACAGGGTCTCACTATAGCTTTGGCTATCCTGGAACTTACTATGTAGACTAGGCAGGCCTCAAACTCACAGGCCTGCTTTGACCTCCTAAGTGTTGATATTAAAGGTATGTTCCACTACACTCCACTCCTGTATGTGCTGTGTTTTAACCCCATATTCAGTTGGGATACCCGAGGGGCCGCTCCACGTTCCTTTAGCCTGATACCCACTACCTAGGGAAATGTTTTTCAAATGACTGACAGTCTAGAGCAGCGGTTCTCAGACTTACTAATGCTGCCCTCTTAATACAGGTCCTAATGTTGTGATGACTCCCAGCCATAAAATTACTTTCTTTGCTTCTTCATAACTGTAATTTTGCTACTGTTATGATCATAAAGTAAATATCTGATATGCAGATGATCTTAGGCAGCCCCTGTGAAAGTCATTCAAATCTCCCAGGGGCTGTGAACCACAGGTTGAGAACCACTGGTCTAGAGGGAATTTAAATTAGATTTAGATCATGTTGACTCTAAATACATGAAAAAAAAAATCTCTGTCCAGGGGCTAAACAGATGACCAGTAGAAAATAAAACTTCTGCTCTTATGGAAGTTTGGTTCTCATGACCCACATTGGTGGGCCAGCTCACGACTGCTGGTATCTCCAATTTGAGGATGGTGGGAGATGAGAGGAGACTCCTTCTTCTGGCCTCTAAGAGCACCTGCATTCACATGCAAAACCCACATTAATAATAATAATAATGTCTCAGCCTAGTCAGATATGGTGGTTATATGTCTGCATTTGGGAAACAGAGGCAGGAAGATTGAATTCCTGGGCTATATTGTGAGACCCTGTCTCAAAACAAGACATAATCTCAGTTCCAAAACTCCTAGGTTTTGGAGGGTGGGAACATTGGTTAAGACAGGGTCCTACAGAATTACAGGCAGTTATGACCTCAAACTTGCTATATAGCAGATGCTAAGCTTGAACTCCTGATCTTCTTGCCTCAATTTCTCCAGTGCTAGGATTACAAGCAGATGTCACTGCATCGGTCCTAGGAAATTTCTGTTTGAATGTAACCTTTCTTAGTCTGGTCAAGAAAGACCCTGAGAGCACCTGTTCTCAATGAGAGGCGTTGCTCCAGAAACACAATTTTTTTTTTTTTTTCGAGACAGGGTTTCTCTGTATAGCCCTGGCTGTCCTGGAACTCACTCTGTAGACCAGGTTGGCCTCGAACTCAGAAATCCACCTGCCTCTGCCCCCAAGTGCTGGGATTAAAGGC